CAATTAGGAAGTAATCTAAACTACTGAGGGGAACAGTATTCTATTATATTTTCAGAAATTAGCCACTACCAATGCAGCCCAGAAAGGTAAGCTAGTTGGTATTTCTGGAAACTGTTTAATGGGTATACTTCCTAGAGCTGTCTACTAGTTTCTACATTAGGAGTTCCTTGGGTAGTGGCTTCTGATTTGAGTTCTTAAGGAGATACTCCTCTTTGAGTTTAAATTTCAAATCACTTGTTAATCGTATTTGTTCTTTAAACATGGTCTTTGATTTTGACTGCTTTCTCTTAATTCCTTGATATTTCATTGTGTTAACCCCTATTCGATTCTTAAATTTTTGTGTACTACTGTTTCACAAAACTGTAATAGTGACTTAGGTTTCTTTGTGCAGAGAATGAACATGTCTATGGGTGTTTTAACCTGTAATCCATGAGGTTCAAAAGGCTCCATGAGTAGAATTCATAAGATCCATGCAGTAGTGCAGTGCAGAAAATTATATCTTTTCATTCACCCATAAGGAAATTTAGCAATTCCTTTACCAATGTATGTAGAAAAAATATAGAAATCATAGACTTTTTATATCCACTTATATTTGCTGCCAATATCTCAAAATATTACTTCATATTGATGACTGCCTCAAAATTATAGGAGTAATTAGACCTAAATGTAGGTCTTAGTACTTAATGTATTAATAAACACATACAATACTATATCATACATTTTAAATGCTTGATATTTGATTTCCTTTGAAATCCCATGTATTTTATTTTGTGCATTTAATGATATTTTTCAGAGAACAAGTATTATTGTTCTCTTTTTCTCAGTTGTTATTGTTCTCAATTACTGTTTGGCTTCATCAGAATGCTGAAGGGGTGCGTGACACAGAAAAGCTGAACACCCTTCTCATAGGGGATGGCAGAGTAGCACAATGAAAGAAACCCGGATTCCCGAACAACTTGCACTGCTTAGAGAGGAACTCTCAAGTGAGAGGAAAATAAAATATTTTGCTTTTGAACTACCGAGCTGTGTTTGCAGCTCAGCCTTATCCTAACTAAACCCATTGTGATTGTCTTGATAGTAGTGTTAAATGTTTTCTTTTACTATTAATGATGTTAAAATTCAACTCTGTCTTAACTATTTTAAACAGAAATTGAATATGAATATTTCAACTTAAAAAATAAAACAATGCACTAGTTTGTTTTTGTTATGCTTTGGGTGAATTTCTAAAGTACCAGTAAAGCTGCATTCAGGCACTTGTATGCACTTGTACCCTCATAATTCTCTAACCCCCAAGGCCAGCTCTAATACTGCCTCTCTGTCTCTCTCTGTCTCTCTCTCTCTCTCTCTCTTTCCCTCTCATTCTCAATCTCCCTCTCTTGCCCTGGTTCTCACTCTTGCTCTCAAGAGGTCAAACAGTTTGGAGGAATTTAAGGAAAGAACATGACCACAGACCTCCTCTGTAAGTTCAATATTGACAGAATACCAAGAATGGCCGTGGTAGAATGATGGAAACAACAAAGCTCACCTGATTAGGTCAGGCGTATTAAACACATGTGTATCTGATCAATTAACCACTTTCTGCTAGAGCTTGAAGAACCCAGCAAAAATGCTCAAATGTCCTTTACAGACTCAATCAGGACACTATGTACAAGCCTTGGCTATGTTACAATTAAAAGTACAATACAAGGGAATATGACCATTGGAGGACAGGCAAGTTTATTTCACCCAGATGCCCAAAACACTGGGAATGATAAATGCCTACTAGTGTTTGTAGGCACATTTTCTAGGCAGGTTGAAGCTTACCCGAGCAAGAGGGTGAAGCCTACCCGAGCGAGTCTGAGAAGGCTGTAGAAGTAGCTGAGCCTCTGTTAAAAGAAATCATTCCTCTATTTTTGGACTTCCTTGCTCTATACCAAGCAACAATAATCCTTCTTTTATTTCTGAGATCACACAAAGGATAAGGGAAGTATTACAGATCAAATGGAAATTATGCTCTTCTTGGAGGCCACAATCAACTGGAAAGACTGAAAACATGGTCCACATGCTAAAAAAAAAAAAAAAAAAAAAGTGAAAGAAAAGAAAAAAAAACACCCTGGCAAAACACTATTGTACAGGGTTTTACCTATTGCCCTGCTCGGATTAGGGTAACACCCTGAAGTGGGCTTAAATTGAGCCTTGTTGAAATTGTGTATGGGAGACCCTTCTGAACTTCTTGGCCAGGGACCCAACCCTTGGACTTAATAAATGAATCAAGAATTAAACAGTATCTACAACAACTAAGACATACATCATTAACCCTGCACCAGTTTGTTCTTTTTGTTCTTTCCAGTGTTTTTTGTGTCTTACAAACAAGCCCTTCACCCTTTCCATCCAGGGATAAAGTGCTGCTAAAATCTTGGTAAAAACAAGACTGGACCAACAATAGCTAACCATGTCTCCCATAGACATGAAATAGGAGGCCGGGCGTAGTGGCTTATGCCTGTAAACCCAGCACTTTGGGAGGCCGAGGCAGGAGGATCACAAGGTTAGGAGTTCAAGATCAGCCTGGCCACCATGGTGAAAACCCATCTCTATTACAAAAATACAAAAATTAGCCAGAAGTGGTGGCACATGCCTGTAGTCCCAGCTACTCAGGAGGCTGAGGCAGGAGAATTGTTTGAAACCAGGAGGCAGAGGTTGCAGTGAGCCGAGATCACACCACTGCACCCAGCCTGGGTGACACAGTGAGACTCCATTTTTTAAAAAAAAGAAAGAAATAGGAATTGGCAGTGGAGAGTTTGTAACCAGAATAATAAGCCTGCTTCAAAAATGAATAGCCTTATTCTTTGCTTTATTCGCTATCTAACCGTATCCTTGCTTAAGAAAGCCAGGAGCTAATCTTGAAATAAACCAGGCATGAATTTGAGATTCTGGAATCCTACATTCTCAGAAAAATCACTGGGCGGCGGGGGTGGGGGTGGGGGGTGTTAATCCATAACCTGGTTGCAGTCATGGTGATGCCAGCCAGACCTCCAGGTGATCCATTACTGAAGATGACCATCAGAATCAGACATGCAAACCTGCACCCTGCACCACTCCTGCTCATAGTTTCCATGCCTCCTTCTTCTTAAAATCCCTTTAGCTAGCCTAAAACATTTGAAACAGTCTTTGAGGCACTAGTCCACCATCTCCTCAGGTTGCTGGCTCTTGAATAAACCTGCTTTTCCTTCCACTAACTCTTATCTCAAAAGTCTTGCTTTTGAGCAATGAGCAGCTGACCCTTAATTTGGTTACACTATCACTTAGGAAATTTCAAGGGTTTTAGGAGCTCTGTGGCAGGAACCAGGAACAAAGTTCAAATTTATTTTATATCATACCACAGGTACCAACTCCCATGACTACCTGGATGGTGACAAGGACAGAATTCTCCTCATCCTTCTTTTTCACTCTAAATATACCTACACAGACATGCTATTAGGAGGGAAAGCTTTCCCTCTACCAACTTTGGTTCAGTGGGTGGGAGCTTGTGAATCAACTATAGACAGGTTAGTAGGAGGAAAGTAAACAAGTTGTATTCATAACCTGTGGAAGCATTCAGATGAAGAGGCTTGATGAAGAGCTAGAGATAAAAGTTTACTTATCAACTCACAGGCGAAAAGGAGGGAGAAATGGCTTGTATAGGAAAACAAATGACTTTTGAGAAAGACAAATGGAAGCTTTGGATAAAGCTTTACACAATTTTCTTGGAATATCTCCTGTCTGGGTGAAGCCGTCCTCACAGGGTTAACAAGAATCCTGAACAGAAATACAATTATAAGTAAGCATTAATCAAGCTACACTTTGACCCACTTCCTTGTAACCAAAAGTCACAAACACTAGATACTGACCATTTGCATTCCCATTGTTCCCATAGTGCAGATCTCTGACATTTGAATCATAAGGCTTTATGCAGATTCTGAATTCCAGCAGAACAGCTGACACCACTCAGTTTAAACAGCCCCACAGATTAGCGGGGCACGGTGGCTCATGCCTGTAATCCCAGCACTTTGGGAGGCCAAGACGGGCAGATCACCTGAGGTCAGGAGTTCAAGACCAGCCTGACCAACGTGGTGAAACCCCGTCTCTACAAAAAACAAAAAATTAGCTGGGCATGGTGGCACGCCTGTAGTCCCAGCTACTAGGGAGCCAGAGGCCGGAGAATCATTTGAACCTGGGAGGCGGAGTTTGCAGCCAGCCAAGATTGCGCCACTGCACTCCAGCCTGGGTGACAGAGTGAGACTCTGTCTCAAAACAAAACAAAACAAAAAAGAGCCCCACAGATTAACCGAATCAGCATGAGAATACGATTTTTTCATCTCCTTGTCCCATGACTTCACTTTGCATTCTTCAACCAATCAGTGATCTCATCACTTCCACCCACTCCAAAACCCTTAAAATCTTTGGCCTCAAACTCTTTGGGGAAATGGATTTGAGGTGTCCTTCCATCTTTTGGTTTGACAGCCCTGCAATTAAACCTCTTCCTCTGCTGCAACCTGGTCTCTTGGCATAATGACATGCTATGCACATCAGGCAAAAGACCAATTACAGTTACATGAGGACTCCTTTGGAGGGAGCTAATGGTGGAGGCATTTCTGGGAGGCTCTGCTATAGTCAGGTGACAGAAGTTCAGATAAGATTTTTTTCTGTATCTGCTGTAATTCAAATGTTTTCAGTTTTGTCCTTACACATGCATACACACGCACACACACACTTCCATTCTTAAGCAGCTAGCATCTTCATATATCTGTGCTCCCTAATTTCCTTCTAAACATTCAAAGGGAGAAGGAAGGGCTGTGGGAATTGTATTTGAGATGAATCATTCTCTCTGGAGAAAATAAGACAAATCTTCTGTGTTGTGGTCATGGATATGCTGGGCATTAGTCTTTGACCAGAGTTTATGAGGTTATTAAGGTACATGCATGCTTATAAACTGGAGAATTAAAAAATTGGAGAAAAGGAAATAATACCGTAGCACAGTCTTCTCAGGTACCTGCAGTTTAAGTTCTTCATTACAAGGAAAACATAAACAATCTTTCAGTCAGTAAGAGCACATGAGTCTTAATGATCTAGTACATTTTTTAATACCTTGACTTACTAGTGTGATTCAAAGGTTGGGAAAATTCCCAATATCACCCTCTTAATCTTATTAGACCCAAACATAACAGCAATGCCAAAAAATACAGAGTTCACATTTTGCTGGCATACATTTCCAAATTTTTAATGCTTCCCCCGACAGATGAATTTTAAGGATAACAAAAAGCAGACACTTACAAAACATTCCTTGTGATGAAGTAGAAAATGTAAGGTCAGCTAAGAGAAAGACAAGTAGACCCAAGGTCAGACAAGCAAGTTTATTGACCTGCGGGGCAACAATCAGAGGAGGCAGCCCCAAGCTTACAAAGCGAGAAGTTTATATGGGATGAGAGGGGCATAAGGGAGTCTTTGGGCCAAGATAATCTATCAGCTTGTAACAAGCACGAAGATAGTTTACCAGCTTGTGACAGACTCATAAAATATATCACCCGTGACTTTTGTGGCAGCAGTTAAAAAAAACCCAGGATTTTACAGGTATGTGTAAGACAGGAATTTACAAGTATGTGTTATAAAAGTTTGTTTCTTATGACCTCCCCCGAGCTGCCCAGATGGCTGTAAGCAGGCTTTGCTCATTGCAGCCTGTCTGGTAGCCTTGCTGCAGTGCCTAGGTAAGAGTTTAGGAATGCAGCTGCAGAGCAACCTGGGGGAGGGGGGGCAGTCAGCTAAGGGGATTTTCTGGGACTGCTTGTCCCTAACAGAAAAAGCCCTGGATAGGTGTCCAGCTAAACTGGATTTCTGTCTCAATTATTCCATTAACTTTATAGTCTTCAGCAAAACCCTTAACTTTGAGCTTCTATATGTAATGATATCATTTTAACTGCTGTGGTACTAAAATGTGATAATATAGACAAAAGCATTTTGAAATGTTTGAAATACTACATAAATACACACAATAACTAAATTCCAGAGGAAAGGATATAAGAGAGCTAAGCTGACCAGTATTATAAAAGGAAGCTTTTTATACTGACCAATATTATAAAAGGAAATTTATTACAGAAAAGCCCAGCCTCATCCACTATAGGTTTATGTCTCCATTTCTCTTTGATGCGATGTATTTAATAGAATGAGTTATATAGGGAAAAAGAATAAGAAATGAGCTGTGGAGACAGAGCCTGGGCCAGCTCAAATGCATTACTAACAGCGATTCAAGGAATAAGTGTAAGGCCAACCACTGGCGATAATCCCTACAGGGTGGCATCTAACTGTCAAAGTGCACAGGCACCCCTGGGTTACCCTCACAAGCAATGACAACACGTCTAGTGCTGGCCGTGGCTCGATATCTGCAGTTGGGTACCCTAGAACTTCCTGTCTCCCTGCAATCTGTGACCTTCACTACACCCTCATGGCAGTTCATCCTGCCATTCTTGCATTGGATATTGGTGGTGCTGCAGATACTACGAATGTTCCAGATATCTTCATGGATGAAGGTGTTGAAGCGCTTGCAATGATTCGAAGTCATCTTCCGTCTTTGCATCATCAAGTTGCAGTAGCCATCATTGCCACCTGTCTCCTCAGGGTGCACATGTTGCCGCAGGAATCTCTGGTACATGCGATCCTGGCCATAGGAGGGCTGGACCAGCCCCAGCCCCACCAGGGTCAGCAGCAAAAGCAGAAGCAATGAATGGGTCCTCTGCAGAGCCATCAGTACCTTAGAGGTGCCTAGAAAAGAAAGCAAAGGCAGGAGAAATAAGGTAAGAACTGGGCACTGGAAAGAGGTGTTGAGAATAGCAAGCTGACATCTTGACTTCATGGTCTCCTCTTTCCACCTTCTTGTATGGACCATCTTCCCACTCATCTCTGCTACCTTTCCCATCCCTGCTTCCCCAAGAGTTTGTAAACATCATCTCTTCTGAAAGCAAAACCTTTCTCTTTTACAAAGAGAAGTTGCTATAGGCAGTATAATGACACAGGGTAGGGAACTGAGTGGGTGGCTGCCAGGCTTGTACAGTCAGAGTATAAAAAGAGAGAAAAGGTGAACCTACATGAAATTGTAGTTGTGTGTCTCTTGGGGGAATTCTGCAGGTGTATGATCTTTGGGGAATGTTTGGTTCCTGGGAGGCTCCAATTCTCGACAGTTTGGATAGACTTAGGATATGTCAAAGAAAGTTTATAAACTACTTTTAATACCTTACATCTGGGAATCTAGGTAGAGGAAGAGGATAGAGGAACATTTAGGCTTTGCCTTTCCTCTCATATGACTATTCTTATTCTTTTTGGCTAATTTTATTATTTTTCTTTTTTTATCATGTGACTATTCTAATGTGATTTAAAATCTATTAGTATAATTTTAGAATAATATATGTAATACATTAATCTAAAATGTATTCTAGTATCTAAAATCTAATTCTAGTATTCTAGTATTCTAAAATCTAATTCTAATGTAAAATCAGGTTCTTTTGGAATTCCTTTTAATTCTATTTAAAAGGAAAAAAAACAGAGTACCCAGATACAGTACTTAGAAACAGTTGATAATAGCAACTGTTTGAATGAACTAATAAATGAAATGAGTGCGCTAATAAACAAATGCAATTAAATGGATAAAGGTTTTTCCCAGGCTTATGAAATTGACTAATATGAAAAGCTAATAAATATTTAAAAAATAAACAGCACAGTATCCTCCAAAGAAAACTTGGATTGTATCTTCTCCTGCTGTTTCTATGTGTAACATAAATACTCCAGGCCCAGAGATACACTGCTTTGTCTTGCATCTATTCTTGATGTTCCTCCTGTCTTGTCAGTAGTTGTCAGCAGCTGTCTGTCTTCTTCGGTTGCAGCCTCACTGTGTTGTCATCTCTTGGCAATGAAAAATAAGCCTATATTTTATAGCATTAAAAAAAATCTACAGCAGCAACAAAAACAGTATTGTTATATAGCTTCAGAACATTCATTGCTTTCACTAACAGATTAAAGAAAGGAATCCAGGCCTATCTTAGTCTACACCTTGTGTAGACTATCCTCTATTGGCTCACTCATTCCATGCCCCAAATATGCAGGATGTCAAAGACATTTATGTTCAGAATTGCTACTTCTCAGCAGCAGAGTATAATCAAGATTAGAGGCGAAATCACTCGCCAACTGACTAGCCAGATGCTGCCATCTGGCCGTCACTCCTGGAACTGACATGAATTGTGAATCTGCTGCACTTTTGCAGTGAAGCAGGGTTGATTCACTAAAGCACAGAAGAATCATCCCTGATTCAACAGGAAGTGAGCAACCCAAATTAGTAAGGGCAATGTTTTGAGAGTCAAGCAGCCCAGCTCTACATGTGCAGTCCAAGGACTGGACCCAGCTGAACTCCTAGTTTGATGTATATGGGTACTATTGTCTTTTGATTTCAAATTCTGCTTCATAATGGTGGATTGCATTGTGTGAATGACTGAAATGGCTTCCAAGGGACCTGTACTTTACTTTGTTCTACTGAGAGCCTATCTTTTGATTACTGATAATGAAAGCAGTATCAAACATGACTATTGTTCTTTTAAATATCACCTCCTATATCCACAGCCACCTTTTACCTTTGCACAGAGAGATATAAAGCTCTATGTCATATTCGTGTGCCTATGGCTGTAGATGTGAGATATGGTGTTAGGAAGAGAAAGAAATAAAGAGGTTGTGGGAGGAAGGGCAGATGTTTGACTGATTTCCTCTTTGCCTCAAGAACAATGCATGCAACTTCTGAAGGTATACTTAGTACTTGGATTATAGCTTCAGCAGATCAATATACTTTGGGTTATTTTTCCATTGGCACCTCCAGTTTATATGGTTTTATCTACTTTCTCTTATCCTGATTCTTTGTGACCAAGAATATGGTTTAGCAAGATAACTGGCTACAGAGAAAACCTTACCTATTCATGCAAGAGCAAACCCAGGACGTCAACTTTTCTACATTAACCAAGTAAACAAGACATAGAAAAATATTTGAGGACAGCGGCCAATGTAGACACCAAGGGGTGCATGGCAAAGCTCTAGCTACAAGAGAAAATGGAATCATCTCCACATCATCACAACACATAGTTTTGGATCAGGATTTTCCCCAAACGCTTTCTCCACAGCATCACCCTGACTCATAATAAGAACATCTTTTGACATTGTGGTCTAAAACACTGAGGCTGTGACCATGAGAAAATTGCTTAACCTCTCTCAGCACATTTCCTCATAAGTAAAATGACATATAATACCTACCTCTTAGGGATGTTATGAAGAACAAATGGGAAAGTCAATGTAAAGTGCCTATAAAAAGGCCTAGCACATGGTAAATGCTCAGCAAATGTTGGCAATTACTGTATTAATTAATTACTATTTCCATTTTTCTTGATTCCCTCTGCTTCTGTCAATCTGGATAAAATAATGAATGGCTACACTGAGTTGCATATATTATTGACCCCTTTTTATTTCATAGAGCTAACTGTATTCCCAATAAATTGGAAGTCTGTTTTTAAACTATAAAATATCTCAGCTACTAGATCCCTAGAGAATTTTTTCCTCTTCAAATTGCATAGAATTTTCTTCCTTGCATGTCACTATCCTTCAAAGGACTTGGCATTTTGGAGTTCTCCTTTGCTTTCCTTGCAAAGCCAACAATCACAGCTGACCAGCACTTCAATTCTTCAAATGATTTACTTACAATAAAATGACCTGCCTGTGACTTGATATTTTATTTTAAACAGCTTGTGGTTGTGATAGAACAAGAGGCCCAGACCAAAAGGGACTAGGAATGCTTACCCAGCTGCCAGGACCGTCAGCAGGTCAGGAAACACCCCCATCCCACTGCCATCTGATTTCCTATGAAGCAGCCATTTCCCTTAACACCAGAGCAGACTATGCAGTGACAGTGCTCCAGGCAGATGTTTGGAGATGTGAGTTTTCACAGCTTATGGTGTGATCAGTATAATAATGGTCCATGCCTTTGACTTGCTCTGTGAAGGCCTTGAGTGGGGTCAATGATCTTGAGTAACTTTGTCTCACCTCAAGGAGCTAGTACTGGTTGGAGAATTCGAGAAAAGGGCCCACATAGTTTGCCAAAAACTGTGACTTTCGCTACCCCAGGCTGAGTGAGAGCCCCGCATGGGGCAGCTCTAAAAAAAATAAAAATAAAAATTTAAAAACTGTGACTTTCTCATTTTCTGAGGGGCTTCTGAGATTTTGTAATATGGCAAATTTTCTAGTAAGAGAGGTTTGGAATAATTTTTTCTGTTTTCTTAGGAAATGACAGTGTTTTCCATTTTGAAACAGACTAACCCAAAGAGGAGAGATCCCTGTGCTGAGCACACACCAGCAACCTACTTCTCAAACCCATTCCTAAATGTAAATACCTGCAGTGAGGCTGGGCTCTCTGAGGTGGTACCTGGACCGTGCTCTATAACTTGAGTACTGGGGAGCCAGGACTTTTGGCCCATTGCAGGGCAATATTGGGAGCAGGAGAGGCCACCACAGGGAATAATGAGATCACAATAATTATGTGTTCACAAGGCAGTGAAACTGGTGATTTATAACTAATTTATTGGCAACCACTTTCTAAATAAAATATCCAGGCACTTATTGTCACAAATTAGGTAACAGGCAGTTAACCACGATTGAACAGTGTATTTTACAACAAGAGTATTAAGTTATGTTTACTTTAAAATAAATCTTGAAGGAGAATAAGGGGTTTTCTTTTTTTTTTTTTTGATACAAAGTCTTGCTCTTGTCCCCCAGGCTGAAGTGCAATGGCGTGATCTTGGCTCATTGAATCCTCTACCTCCTGGATTCAAGCAATTCTCCTGCCTCAGCCTCCTGAGTAGCTAGGATTACAGGTGCTTGGCATCACACCGGCTAATTTTTGTATTTTTAGTAGAGGCAGGGTTTCACCATGTTAGCCAGGCTTGTCTCGAACTCCTGACCTCAGGCAATCTGCCCAACTCAGCCACCCAAAGTGCTGGGATTACAGGTGTGAGCCACTGTGCCCAGCTGGAATCTTTTCATAACTTCCCCAAAACATCACACTTGCCTGACATTAGTCGACAAAGTAAAATATTACAGAGAAAATAATGTAATTGGTTTTTGAAATTTATATAAAATAACCATGACAAGAGAATATCCCTGAAGCATTCCATTCAAACATCGAAATTATCTCTTGCTACCCTGAATGAATTTTGGTATTCATGCTGGATTACTTGTGTGTGTGTGTGTGTGTGTGTGTGTGTGTGTGAGAGAGAGAGAGAGAGAGAGAGAGAGAAAGTGTAATAATCTGTTGCTATATAGGTACTTGGTCCTTAGAAACTCCTCCCCAAGGTCTCATATTTGTAGAAGTAATATTAATTTACTATTTGACAGAAAAAAAACAATTTGCCTCTTGAAAGTTCTGCTTAGTGGCTATGAGCCCTGGATTTTTTTCATCTCTCTCTGTAGATCAACTTACCATTCTTTTCCTCACAGAGAGGTAAAGTCTACCTCCCTAATGACTTGTAAAAAACTGACTAATAAGGAAAAAGGTGGCCAGGCATGGTGGCTCAAGCTTGTAATCCCAGCACTTTGATAAGTCAAGGTGGGTGGATCACCTCAGGTCAGGAGTTCAAGACCAGTGAAACCTTGTCTCTAGTAAAAATACAAAAATTAACCAGGTGTGGCAGTGCATACCTGTAATCCCAGCCACTCAGGAGGCTGAGGCAGGAGAATCACTT